GTCACTCGTGCTCGAAAATATGACCACATTACAGACATTTTTATTAAACTTCATTGGTTACCAGTTGTACAAAGAATCAATTTCAAATTACTTTTACTAGTGTATAAATCTTTGTATGGTTTTGCCCCAAATTATCTATGTGAATTAATCGAATTTTATGTACCGAGTCGTAGTTTAAGATCTGAATCGAAGTTTCTTATTAAAACTCGTCAGATGTGTAGTAAAAAGTCCAAGGTGTTATACAAAGACCGTGCTTTTGAAAATTTAGGTCCTAAACTTTTTAATGAATTACCTCTGTCTGTTCGTTCTAGTCCTTCAGTAGACATTTTTAAATCCAGACTGAAAACGCACTTATTTAAATGTGCTTTTAATATTTGACTGATTGTTTATTGTATCAGCGCCTTTGATCTTCATATGTTGGAATTGTTGCGCTTAATTAAATAGAGTTATTATTATTATTATTATTATTACTATAACCCTTTCTCTGTCGTGGAAGACTTGCATGTCTTGAACTACTATGCTTGTGATTTTCAACACTGAAGGACCAGCAAGTCCTGATTTCTATAATTTAAACTGACAGAGTCCTTAAATAACACATATTCAAATTTCTTACAGGCATATAGTGTATTTTACATGCATTATATAAAGGCCTGGATATACTATAAATACGCTTCTAAACAATAGGGGATTATTTCCTGGCAAGTTTTCTTCAACTCGCATGTCAATTATGTCATACCAAATTGGATGTATGTGACTATGAATATCAAAGCTTGGTTTTATGTTGTATTGTTATGACAATAGTGTACGAGTTGAGATTTCAACAAATAAGCCAAAAACATGAACCAGTTAAAAAACCTGCTACTAAGCTTGAATAATTAACTGCTGGCAATCAATGTCACATGACATTCAATTTCTGAAATGGGTGCGTCATCTAATTTTTACAAACATTTACACAATTCCTAATGCGTTTCTCGTTGTCACATAGCGAATTAAACATGGAATAACAATTATATTTGTGTAGTAACATTATCTTTTGAAGTAAAATTATATTTTAGTAGTAACATAGGAATACATGCTTATTGTTTACCGTAGCGAGCGCATGGCTTATTGAGATTAGTGTTATTAGCTTGTAAATAAACTATGAAGGTTTCTGTAAACATAGGCTATGTAAGTGATTAAACAACACTCGTTAGCATAGCCATGCCTCCAGTAAACTATTGCTTGGAGTGACTGAATATAAGACCCAACCGTATTGAACTCAACAGTATATTTTTTTTTTTTTTTTATAAATGCATGTTTTTTCAACTACTAGTATGATGTTAGACAGTTAGCAGCCAAAAACAGTAACAAATCTGAAAAAATCAAATTTAAAGCAATCTTCCCAGTGAAATTAATGGAAAGTCGAACATAACAATACAATTTGAAAAAAAAATGCATTGCTTGAAAACAGGTGTGGTTTACAGTTGATGTCAGCACAGGGCTGTATAAAAAAAGATGCGAGTCCCCCCCCCAACGCCCTCTATAGTTCAATTTTCTATCTCAATTACGCATTTTAATTTGACTATACTGTAAAACAATGCCCATTTTTCAATGTGCTAGATAGACATTTAATCAAGTGTTCTCAATTCATACAATAACACACATTTTTTTAGGTGTGTGACGATGCTATCATCATACGTAGTGGAAACGGAGCAGTGTGTGATAGATGTTGGTACGAGAAGCTTATCAACATGACCTACTGTCCAAAGACGAAAGTCTTATGCTTATGGAGAAAGGTACTTCAAGAAACAAGGCTTGATAAATTCTACACCAAAAAAGTAAGCTAACATACATATTGTACTTTTTAGTCCCCGTTCGGACGTAGTCCGAAAACGGGGACTTATGTTTTTCCCTGTGTGCGTCCGTCCGTGATCACCTGTATCTCGAACATGCATGGACCGATTAAGTTCAAACTTCACTCATACATCACACATTATATGGGACATATACACATGCATTTTTTTCATGATCCGATTAACGATAGCCGAATAGCGGCCATTTTAAGGCCGAAAATGCATCAAAATCGCACATTTTCACCATTCCGGACCCGGATCTCAGTTATGCATGGACGGATTTTGTTCAAATTTGGTACATACATTAAACATAATAGGACCTTGATGCACGTTATTTTTTTTTTTCCGGATCATGTTCGAAATGGCCGACTGGCGGCCATTTTGTTTTAAAGAATTCAGTTCTGGATCCGTATCCGAGACATGTCTGGATTGATCAAGTTCAAACTTCACACACACAAGTTACATCATGTCACAAATATGTATGTGCATTTGTTTCATGATCTCATTAACGATAGCCAAATGGAGCGCTTTAAGGCCGAAAATGCATTGAAATC